ATATATATATAAGGGTAAGATGCGAACGAATAGAGTACAATTACAAAGTAGAGCAATATTCTTCTTTTTAGGATATTACATCGAAAAACATGTCAAAATCGCTACACAACTGCAGCCGTGTTTTGATGCGTATAACCGCATCTCATCAGGCGATTTTAAATTACTGGCGAGTGGACGATTTATTTAATTATTTATCAACTGTAAAAATATTTTTATGTAGGAATCTCACAAAGCCTATAACTCGTCTTGCATTTTGTTAGATGACAACTTCATTTTTTCTTAGGAATAATGTACAATATGTCTCCATTTACATCCGCTACTGTTCAACGTCTATTGCTGCGGTGGTTTCAAAGCTACGGGTTATGGCACATTTATGAATAATAATTTCTTAATTTTTGCTTCTTCATTCATTTTAAATTTAACGTAGGTCATAATTGATTGGCTGATCTGAGTAAAGCCCACAAACCTTATAACCACCTCCTTTTGTTTTTGTTTTCTTTCGTAAAAAAAAAGTCTGTATTTGGCTTTTAAATAAATCGTTCACTCGTCAGTAATTTAAAATCGCGCGATGAGATGCGCAATGCATAATTTATAGCTCTGTTTAGGACACTGTTTTGTTTACACATTAAATTAAATACATATTTATTTTTTCATCTCTCTATATACGTTATCACACGCATATATATTTGCTAATATCTCGTTATTTAGTTTATATTCACACTTCTCTCTATCTCTTTCTCTCTCTCTCTCTCTCTCTCTCTCTATATATATATATATATATATATATATATATATATATATATATATATATAAAGCATAACGGTCAATTGGATTAAAATAGGAAACAGTAGTATCAAAAGTGCTCAATACATATGTGAAAAAAAAAAAAAAAATTAAAAATTATATACATTTCAATTACCTATCCCCCCATATTTTTACAATACCCATTCTTTCCTCCTCCTTCACCTCTTCTTGTTTTCTTCTTCTTCGCATCCTCCCCCTACATTTCTGACATACCCAACGTCGTTCGTTTATTTATTTATTTTTAAATAATAAAGCGTTCATTAATAATTTTAAAAAAGTAAATAAAGCGTTGGGAAATCAATTGATACAAAGCACCTGACTATACTGAAAGGTTGAAACCAAGGTAGCGATATCTCCTGATCTCCCATCTCGACTGATCTCTTAATATCTATCTATCTATCTATCTATCTATCTATCTATCTATCTATCTATCTACACACACACACACACACACACACACACACACACATATATATATATATATATATATATATATATATATATATATATAAAACTGACAAAATGAAAACAATGCTTTTTTGTCCTCTGAGGACTGTATCAAGATAATTTAGGTATTTACGTTGGTAAATGTTCACATTTGTGTTTATTCATATTAGCTTTTAAAGATATATTTTACACACACACATTTTATATATATATATATATATATATATATATATATATATATATAAAGTAAGAAGGAGGTACATGACTGAAACAGAAAGTTGGTATATGACTGACATCTGTGGAATTGTGCCATGCACCCTCAAATGCATCCCCAACTGCCATTGCACTCGATTTGAGTGACAGTAACCTTTCCTGCCACGTCACACTATAATTCCTCAAGCACTCGACTTGTCAGTTGCGTGTCGCCAAAGCCAGACTAATGGCGAACTCTACATTTGTCCAAGCGAGGGAATCTCTTTTAATTTTCTTCTTCTCAAAAGATCTTTTAATGCACCTTTATTCAGACAAAGATACCAGGATGAAAATTTAAATATCTGGGAAGTGTTTTAACAGAGAACGGAAAGTATGACACTAAAATCCGAAGGCGGATTGGAATAGCCAAGGAAGCATTTCAAAAGCATTCCAAAAGCTTAGCAAAATATTAAGAAATAGAAAAATTACACTAAAAACAAAGCAAACAGTATTAAAATGTTAGATGATATGAGTCCTCCTGTATAGCAGTGAGTGCTGGACAATTTCCTCATATATAAAGATGAGACTTGAAGCAGCAGAAATGTGGTCCTAGAGAAGGATGCTGGGAATACCAAACATATGAGAAGGTTCGAGTGCGCATTTTCTTTAATAAGTTTTCTCAAATGTGCAGGCCGGCAAATGAAATATAATACTGTTTAAAATAAACGAAGCGTCTACTTAAATACGGGTATCCACTAAAAATAACGTTTAATGTGATATATATATATATATATATATATATATATATATATAAATATAAATTTTAATTCGACATTTTTACTATTATAAACGTTATTGTAGTGGATACGTGTATTAAAATAGACAACCTACGTTTATTTTAAACAGTATATTACTTCTGTCGGCCAGCACATTCGGGAAATGTAAGTAAAAAGAATGTCCTCTCCTGCAGGAATCGAATTTGCGTTCCCCTTTGTAGGAGAAACCATCGGCTAAAGAGAACGCCACTGTTCAGCAAGCCTCTATTATATATATATATATATATATATATATATATATTCGATAAACGTGCAATCAATTTACAAATTCATGAATTATTCACGCAAAAACAAATGCAAAGGTTAATGATTTAATTGGCGAGAAATCCATCGTTGCAAACAATTCAAATAATATACAAAAACCTCCGAATCCGTTATGAATGAAAAGATCCTTGTTTCCATAAATTTCTGCCGCATTAGTTCTTATTTTTACTACTAGCTGATCCAAGTGCGACTTTTGGATAATAAGTGCGACATTACTGTAATTATTGAACAATATAGTTCATGCCACTTTGACAGAAAATTTACCAGTAAAAAATTCGTTCATCACCATATTTGTACATGAACACACAACTGTAAAAAATTTAAAATCAAACTCAGCGTTGCTATTGCACGCTCCAAAAACAATAACTCATTTCAATAGCATTTTCGGATACAACAATACATATATTTTCGTTGTCCTCTTATTACTAAGAGAAAAAACAAGAACAACATCTATTCCATACCTGAAGATGTCTGTAGGAACAGACGAAAGCTTGTAGTAAAAATAAGAACTAATGCGGCAGAAATTTATGGAAACAAGGATCTTTTTATTCATAACGGATTCGGAGGTTTTGTATATTGAATTGTTTGCGACGATGGATTTCTCGCCAATTAAATCATTAACCTTGCATTTGTTTTTGTGTGAATAATTCATGAATATATATATATATATATATATATATATATATATATATATATATATATATATATATATATATATAATGTAAGTTTCTTTTTTCTTGTAGGTGCCGTGTCCCTTCAAGACGTAGGGCGATCATGGCTCTCCACTTCCCATCCTTCGTAGTTCTCAATAAGTTTTGTATTTTTGCTACTTTTCCCAATCCATGTTCTGCCATCCACTTGCTTAACCCCACTAAGTATGTCATGCGTTGCTTTCCCTTGTCTTGTTTTCCCTCTATTTGCCGCGTGAGTATCAGATTCTCCGAGCCTTCCTTTCTCATTACGTGTCCCAGATATTTCAGCTGCCTCTTCCTGATGTTTAATATAAGATTAAGTTTTTTAAATATCGTATGCAAAAAGTCATGTCGAGTACATTATATAATCCGTGTGTTTTGTATATGATTGTTATGTTTTTAATACAATCTTAAAAACGTAATCTCATACGAAATGTGGCTCTATCTTCGGGATGTTGAGCACTGTATGCAAAACACAACAACGAAGAACTATGTTTAATAGACTTTACATTTCAATTTAGTATTTATTTATTTATTTATATAATGGAGAGGCATTGTAGATTGCAGCTCGGATTTAGGAAACGGAGAGCTTAGTCCAAATTCTAGTAGAGTTCATTACAATCACTTACGTGCTAACACCCCTGGGATAGGTATGAATCCAAGTCTTTTCCCCACAGCTATGGGTAAAAAGTAGGTCAGACTGGGTTCTATAGCATTGGGTGGCAACCCTTCTAGGAGTAGGAAAACTCTGAATTCAAAACTGTATGTAGCCTTGGCGAAGCACACATTATGCAGCTATGGAAATGGTCGTTCGCATTGATCCCGACGACGTTCGTCTTATATATAAATATGTGAGCGCGTTCCGTTAGTCTGTGTGTGAATATCTTGCATCGCAGCCTGTGAAAGTCCGTTGTTGGACATACGCCTCCCCCAAATCATGGGTGAATGGGCTATAGCCCTATCATGCTAGCACAATGCAGATGTGACACGTTTGGGTGATCATGTCTCCTTTCGATTCATGAATGTAACGAATCCGACTGGAATTTGAACTCAGCCCTCCGATTTCTCATTCCAAGCTGTCACCAATTACAGCCCCTGGTGTTCTCAATCGGTCACTCATCTAGGCTCTGACCAGGCTAGACTTTGCTTAAATCCGGTGATGTAACGAGAACAGGTATTTCAACGTGTATGGCCGCAAGCGTGGACATCTTAACAAGTTTAAAAACGACCATCATTGATGGCAAAAGAAAAAACAGCTTTAAAAAAAAAAGCCGTTTGAGGAGAAATATACAGAGAATACGAACAATCTTCTGTAATAAAAGTTAGCTTGGTAGACCATTATTAGTGAATTCGATCCTCATTAGGTACCTAATAAGTATAGCCTTGTACCAGACTAAACAAATGTGTAATGATTGGTAAGCCATTATTACTGATCGATCATCATTAGATGTTCCACAACTAAACTAAGCCAGTGGCGGACCTATATTTTAGGGTCCCTGAAGCTTGAATAGATATGGGGTCCCCTTCCCAAGACACAACAATAGATTCGACGATTCACTTGCCAAAATGTAGGCTATCAATAGATTTTGGCGAACTCAAAGGGCTTTTAGGGGGTTCAGGCGCTACAGGACTAATTTTGAGGCCATATGAAATGGCTATTAGCGCATATTCTAAGGCCAATATTAGCCCCTTCAAGCCATTGGCTTATGATTCAATCACTAAAATGACCTTCTTTTAAAAACAAATGCCTAAAAAATCATCGATTTTGTTGAAAAATTTACTCATAAAAAATGTTGCTTTATGGGCCCCGTCTTGGATTAAGGACCCTGAGCTTGTTCCGTCACTGAGCCTAGTAAAGACAGTGTAAACATAGTAAAAGATTTGTAAAGGATATTAAAAAGCGTATGATAATTTGCAAAATGAATTTGTAGATCATTATAGTAATCTCAGTTCTCGCCCTTATTAGTGGCCTTGTGCAAGAAGTAAGCTATATTGTGTAAAATACGGTACTAAAAACTCAAATCTTTAAAGAAAGACCTAATATTTACTTATAACACCGTAATCCAAAAGTAGTGATTCTATATAATGTAGTATTTCTATTAACTTTTCCATTAAAAATTTTATAAATCGAAATGATGTCAAGCGAATAAAAAATTATTATTAATTTACACGGGGAAAATCTTTAAGCGTTTCAGTCTCCCTCAGATAGCATTACGTGAGATTTTCGCTACTACTGAGTGCCGTAATGAGTGTGACTTTAAATTTGTTATTTTGAAAAGGGTTGAACTCTGGCCCTGATAGAGCATGTAAAGACAGGCTTGCAAGATTTTGTAACGCTTACAAATAAACTGTGTAATAGACAAAAAATCATGATGGATACTGTCGTAATTCAATTGTCCCATATCAAACACTTCTTACGGTGAACTGACTCTCGATATCTAAGCAAACAGATATGTAGAAATGGTTATTTCATCTTAGGAAACACTCATATATATATTTTTTTCTTCATATAAACATCCAGTATGTTGTTATATGATAATAAACAATATCTTACCATAAGAATTTTGGTGAGGAATTCGATTTCAAATATGGAAGAGTTGTTAAACATTTCCCGAAGTTCTTTCACCACTTGCTTCTGTTTTTTCATCGCTTTCCTGCAAATCAAGAAGTAAAATAAACCATAAAATAATTAACTTTCATTTTTATTTTTTATTTAAAACTAATTTGTCTTTCATCTTATTTTTGTTGTCTTTTGCTATCGTGTTGTGCAGGTCGTTATTACATTTTACGACCATCAAGTTGTCAGTACTGATTTAAAATAAAAAGTGACTTACAATGAGATTTAAACCTGCAATTTTTATTCTTGAGAGACTGTCTGATATGGACAAAAAACAACAAAAAATGAGATGAAAATGCTAAACTAAAAATCATATCAGACAACGAAAGCGAAATTTGCACTGCACTGAATTATTCTAAAATAAAGTCATAAAATTGACAAAATGTCGTTCATATAGAAACTTGACTCTAGGCCATAAGTTTATTTTATTTTCTGTTAAAAATGAATTTCGTATATAGCATTCAGTTTTCAAATAGCGTTTTAAAGTAAGTGTCTTCAAATTATTTGTGTAGGGTTCCAAACTTTTGTTCGTATTTCTTAAAAATCATGCAATTTTCAACAAAAATTTGCATTTCAGGAGAAAATGGGTTATTTTGTGAAAATTTATAATATGAAACTTCAAACGCATTAAAATAACAATTTTCGTTTAGTTTTAGATCGAAGACTAATTTAACTGACGTCATACCCCTCCCTTAGTACTGTGTAGAATTTTCGCAGCATTAGTACCGTTTTTTTAAATACCTTATTTAAAATAGTATATATATATATATATATATATATATATATATATATATATATATATACACAAATATAGGATTAGCGTATACGAGATAAATTCCAATAACCAAAAAATACTATTCTTAAAAGAGTGCTCAATACAGAATAGAGTAAATATAATTATTTATTTGAAAATTATAACACCATCACTTGATAAGACACCAGAAGTGTTGAAACAAAATGGCTATTTTTGTAATGATTTTATAACATATTTATGTTATAATTTTGAATAAATAATTATATATATATATATATATATATATATATATATATATATATATATATATATATATATATATATATATAATTGTTGATTTTCTTGTTATATAGTGTCTTGACTGTTCTTTCGTGTTTTATGAGACAAATCGGCTTGTACAGACAATGTAATGGTTTGCGGTTCGGAATGAGAAAATAGGCGAGCCGAGTTCGAACTCTCCCTCAGAATAAATGGGTTAGGTATGAGGACCAAACGATCCCATGGTGGAACGGAGAGGTCTTATGTGGCACAAGGTAGATAACACCATCGGTTAAATGAAAATGCAAAAAAATAAAAACTAAGCAAAAGATTTTATTTTTAAAATAATCGAATGAAAGTGTCAGTATTAAGAAATTAATTTGTAAGTTCAAAAAATTAAAATATGCAAAAATGGTAATGGTAATACTGAAATAATAATAATAATAATGATAATAATAACCGTTTCCTTATAAGGTAACATTCACATGACCGAGCAGCCATTACTGCGGTCGATTAAAATTTATCTTGAAACAATTTTTCAAGAAAATGTTTCCCAAATCCAGTATCTGTTATCTGTCTTTCCAGTACTGATGGCGGTTTCCTTCCTAACCTTTTGTTTGAAGTTATGTGGAACGTTAACAACTCAATTATGGCATTATTTTCTCTTTGACTTGCATGTGATAATCCTTTTAGCTTTTGCTGTTGCTGAAAGTCCTCAAGTAATGTAGTTTCAGTTTCTGGTACAGTTCTTTGTTTGTGACTCTGTAGCGCCAGTCTACAAAATTCGAAGAAGTGTGTTATTCATCAAGGCCCATAGGCTTCACTCGCTTAAAGCTATTTTAAACCATTGATCATAGAAAGAGGCTGTATACAGCAGATAATTTAGATATTTCTAAACGTGTTTGGCTCTATGCATGACATCCACATGAAAGCCTCGATATAACGAGGCCATTTAAGAACATGGCTCGAGTAAATGTTTTGGTTTTGTAAACAAATAATGCTGCTTGTAGTTCACACAAATATAAATTATAATTAAATCCAGAATCTCTTTCCTTGAACAGACGAATCTACTTGGCTAATCATGAAAACTTGCTATGCTTTTAAAAATATTATAATTATGTAAGGATTATATGGGATTTGGGGGTTTAATATTCTAGCAAACAAAATTGTGTTATGTTGTCTCGTTTTCTGCTTTTTTTAAAAGATATCATCTTATATATATCATCTGAAGAAGGCCATGACAATAAAGATGATGACAACAGTCCGAAGAATGTAAATGGTGTAAATGAACCTTAATTAGTGAAGAGCGAAAAGTCATGAGAAGTGCTTAAATGTTTGCATTTCACGCATTTAAGCTTCTTTTTTTGGTGGGGGGGGGTCTTCTGTGTGATTTTGGATTAACTTCGAGCAATTATAACTTGACAATATTTGGAGTTAGGACAAAGTTAAACCAGTTCTTAAATCCAGAGACTGTCTACATTCAGACTAGAAGAATTGTATATCACTTGGAAAACGTTTCCAGAACGCCAAATGTCCGCTTGCGAGTCCACTGTGCAATAATCTAAAGGCCGCATTTGGACACCTTTAAGCGAGTGTTCTATAAGAGACAGTTAAGGACAGCAAGCGGGGAAATAAATAGGTACTCACTTAGTGATATCGTGAGGATCGTAGATCTCACAGAGCAAAGGCACTAAAACATTGCATGATTTTTTCATGGTTGACTGTTGTTCAGCAACTTTGAATTTCCCGACAAAACTCTGAAAAAGAAAGCAGACAATTAATGGTAAACATAGAACCAATTTATAGAACGGTCTTTCTTACCTTCGCTTTCAGTGGTACGGTGTCCATTCTTAAGATTTATTGAATCATGGTCTCAGAACTGACAATCGAGATATACTAAAGAGAAGTCGTAAAATCTATCCTATAAAGGAAAATGTGGAAGTCGCAGACTTAAAAAAGACAGAAAACAATATATTGTTGGAGTTGCTTAGCTCTATGGCAAAAACAAATCTTCTATCCGTCGCATAACATATATTGTTATAATTGTTCTATTTTATTATCTTATCTGCTTGTCAAGTTAGCACAACCATTACACCTTGCCAATAGCTAATAAATAATGTACTCTTCCGTTTTGGCCGCGTGGAAAGACAGAAACGATATACCAGTGATGCTATTGGTTTCAGTGAGAAAATGAACGTAAGAAAGAAAGAAAGAAAGAAAGAGGGGAAACTAGTAGTGTTGAACGTTTCCTTTCAATACCTCATAAATAATGGATTATTTCGTTTTGATCAAGTGGAAAGACGGAGAAAACATGTAAGAGACGCTACTTGGTTTCAGTGAGAAAATGAAAGATAGAAATATATTCGTTATATGTTAGTATGAACATACTAATTTCTATAATAAAATAATAATTAATATGAACATACTAATTTCTATAATAAAGCTCTAAAAGATACTGGCCACAAAACTAACTAATATAAAAAAGGAAACTGGAAAACATAGAAAAAACAGAAGTAGAAAAATAATTTGGTATACACCCCCATACAACCAAATGGTAAAGAACAAATTAGGACAAAATTTCCTTGCATTAATAGTTAAGCACTTTCCTAGAGAAAGTAAACTAAGTACTATTTTCAATAAAAATACACTAAAATTAAGTTATAGCTGTACTGAAAACTTAGAAAAAATTATTAAGAAACATAATGCTAATATATTCAATAAACACTTAGACCAAAACCAAAGAAATTTAGACAATATAAAAATAAAAATAAAAACAGATGTAGATAAACAAAAATTATGTAACTGTAGAAACCCTCATAATTGTCCTCTACAAAATTAATGTCACACAGAATCATTAGTATACCAATGCAATATCTCATCTATTGAGAATCCCGAAAACATAAAAATCTATATAGGTTGCACAAGCCATGAGTTCAAAAATAGGTTCAATCAACATCAAACTTCATCTAGGATAAATAAGTACAGAAATCAAACATCGCTTTCAAAGTATTTCTGGCACTTAAAATAATCCAATAAAACACTTACAGTAAAATGAAAATTAATAAGAAAAGACAGAATATGTAGGTCATTAAATGACCCATGTCCTTTGTGCATACATGAGCAAATAAGTTTATAAAAAATAAAAATTTACTGAATCAGAGAAATGAAATAGCTATTTTTTTGCCGTCATTGTCAAAAATTTTCCTTAAATTATATTTAAAAATAAAATTAAAAAAATGAGAGCTGGTAATATAATACTTATATTTGATATGAAAAAATATTTTTAAATAATGTAAGTAATCCTATTACATTTACTTGTTCTTAAAAAGAAATATAGTTTATTAGTAATTAAGAGTAAAAATATTTTAAAATTGTAGTTAAATAAAACGTATTCTAACACCAACACACCTAAAAAGAATCTTTAAGTGTACAAGTAAGAAAAAAATGCCGAAAAACTTTTTGTCGTTAAAAAAAAAACAAACAAAACAAAAAAACAGACGACAAGCATTTAACGGATGTGAGAATTCGTTGAAAAATACACCCCTACCCTCCCTAAACTTAACCCCTTTTTCGAACGTAACTCATAATTGATACAACAATAGTTAATAAAAATGAACACGCTATCGCCCCAGTTTGAATGATTGGATTTCTCTGTATCCTTGGAAACAGCAAATTATGAATTTATGTGTGCGTTTAAAATAAGTTATTCCAATATTCGCTTGAGGATGAAACGGAACTAATTTTTTTAATTTAATTATATAATTAAATTTAAAGTTTTTAGCTTCCATTTTTGAAACGTGGTTATTACTGTGTAGCGAAAAAAACACATTTTAAATCAGTTAATTTTTAATATTATATATATATATATATACGAGTGTGCTGAACAGAAAACTTCCAAAACTCGTAACGAATGATGACCTATCATTTATAGGGACAACGGTTTTTCTTGGTCAAGCCGAGAACTTTTCAGCTTTCGTGTTGACACTCTATTCTTATGATTCTGTGTCCAACTAGTTCATTTTAAGTATACTTGTTTCAACTATATTACTTAAATAATAAATTAAATTCTTAATATTATAACCTTACTAAAATTATGTTTAGCTAACGGTTAAAACAGAAAAAAGACGAATAAAATAAATAAAATTCTTAATTACCTGAAGCCGAGAATTTCTTTGATAGGTCAAAAGCAGGTCAAGGACCTCAAGAGCCCTGTCGAAGAGAAATATTATAGAATGATATATGGAAAAAATATAAAAAGACAGATATACGTATGAATCATTCGCGTATAATCTGCACTTTTCCCCAGATGTTTATGTCTATATTGGGAGTGCGTATTATACCAGATAACTAAAATTAACTTTTTGTTCCAGCCACGTGATTCGCATATTCGGGACAGTTTGACCAAAAGTAAGAGATATCTATGGTTCAAAGTAACAAAAGTGCAAAAAAGCGTTTCAATCAAAAACCAGACACGGCATTTTATCTTCTTTTGTTCTGGTATTATTCATATAGATATTAAGTATATATTTAGTCTACTGTCTGTGTTCAAAATAGACATAATGATAGTTCCATCTATAATGACTAGCGTAGTAGATTTGTTCACTTTCGATAGCATCGTCCACAGAGTCATCGTGTCCTTCTTCCTCCAAAACGATGTGATCTTTATTGTCGTCCAAATCATTTGTGATAGAGCCGATTTTGAACGACTACTGGAATGGATGTTTACTTATCATTTGTTTAGCTAATGCAGTGAAAGCAAATATGTTGTATTTTCGTGTATGCATTTACTCTAAATAATGCGTGTATTTTGCGTTTCAAAACACAATGTAAATTATATAAATACTTGTACCATTCCATGCATTAAGCTATAATGTATGAATTAATTTCATACGCCTGTGGCTCGCCGTGTGTTTGTGGTAGGTGCACAGTTTCCATCGATGACATTAATCACTTTTCGAACGTAATTATAAAGCCAGAATTTCGAACGCTGATTTTAGGGCAGGCCCATCTATTTCCCTTTTAGCTGTATATCTTACTCTACTCTAAGCCTGTGGGGCCCAAACTTTTTTTTCTCTGTACCGTATTTTCAGAGTAAAAATTTGCTCGCGGTTCAACAAATTTTATGTGACAAAAATACATTTAAAAAAACAAAAAACAAAAAAAAAAAACAGAGATAGGATTAAAGGGAGATAACTGCATATTCGAAATCAAAACATTATCATAGATAACTCTCTCCTCCAATTTGAGAACCCTAGTTACTATATTCTTAATACTTGATATAATGCAGAAATGTAACAATGATAAAATTGGTCAGTAATTATTTATAATATTTATACTGGGACTCATGCATCTAATTAAAAGTAATCCATAATAATATTTTAGATTTTAAAATCGTACTTATTTTTGGCATATAAACTTTTTCAAAATGTTTCTAAATATTGATTGTCTTTCACTCATTGCGCCTCACCTGCTATCCTCTTCCGCCGCACTTATGAGGCACATCGAACCACTGCTCTAAGCTAATGTGTGTGTTTATTGGGTTTGATTGTTTAAAAGTAAACAGTACGAGATATACCAAGTTTGAAGCGCTAAAATCAACATTAAGCAAAATAAAATATTAAACTTCAACCCTTGATATTCAAGCATGTGATCGCTTCCTATTGTCGTCATTGACCAATTTCTCCTCACTGGTCAATAACAAATACCAAATCTAGTGCGATTCTATTACATATCGACTTTTAGAAGGTCAACAGAGCTAGATGCCTCGGTAGATTGACCTGGAAGATAATATCATAGCCACCGAGTACAAAATCTGGCTTCAAAGAATTGCTGGATCCACCGACATAAATATGAAGCGAACTCTGCTGATTTTACAGACGCAATACAACCAGATGACAGGAAATTACATAAATGTTCGACCCACGAGGAGAAAGTGACAGTTCCACATATCCACGCGAGAAGAAGATCGAACGGTCATAAGCGCTAAAACCTTATACCCACGATTCGGTCGACGTTAATTTAACGACGCCCAGAAGTGAATAAACGATTACATTTAAGGACAAATTAGTAACTTACTGATATTTTGCATTCACAATGGCTTCTGTTTCAGGCGATTTTTCAAATCGATCCACCGACTGGTACTGCTGCACTAGTTTCAAAGCGTCTTTGGAATAACCTGTGATCGATAAACAATAAATAGAGACAATAATCAATATATACGGACGAAAATCTTTTAAGACATATATAAACGGGTTTTATTCGATTGCTTATTCGGACAGATGCATTTATATTGTGTTTCTCACTGACCGAAACGTAGTAATAAAAAAAACAAAACAAAATAAAAACACTCGGCTGATTAACACGTGTGGCAAATGTAATTATTTATTGCCTGTCTATATTTCTGACGTGAGTATCTATTTACAGTATATATATTGTTCGAACTGTTGTCCTCATCTTTATTATCATATTCACGCTGTTTCGGCCATTGTATGCTCCAGCCTTCTTCAGGATCTGTCAATATATCTGAGATGAGGTATAGTAACTATTTACACTATTTACATTGTTCAGAATGTTCTACTCATCTTTATTGTCATATTCATAATGTTTCGGCCATTGTACGCTCCAGACTTCTTCAGGATCTGTCAATATATCTGAGATGAGGTATAGTAACTATTTATACTATTTACATTGTTCAGACTGTTGTACTCAACTTTATTGTCATATTCATAATGTTTCGGTCGTTGTACGCTCCGGCCTTCTTCAGGATCTGTCAATATATCTGAGATGAGGTACAGTAGCTATTTACACTATTTACATTGTTCAGACTGTTGTACTCATCTTTATTGTCAGATTCATAATGTTTTGGCTTGTTTATTGTTGTTTTTCTTTATTATTCTATATTACTGGTCCCTATATAGTATTTATGTCTATGCTTGGCCGGCTTAGGAGATTTTTGTGGTATAGAATATACGCTGGTTCCTTAAGTTTTCATATTTTTCAGTGATGTTCTCTATTACTTCAACTTCATCCCACTGTGTGCGATGATCTCCCTTTTCCTTCCATATATGGTCAGCCATGCCTGATTTTTCTATTACTCTTCGTGTTACGGCTTTACAGTGCTCCTGCAGTCTGATCTTAAGGGGGTGGTCTGTTTCTTCTCTTTATACAAGGAGACATAGTCCAGTAGATAAAAGCGTTGGTTGTAGTAATCTAGTGATTGACTCAACAGCAGTTATCAAAGGGAAATAACTGAAAATCGAGATATTCAGAAAAGGCACGGCACGTGGAACGAGAACAATCAACACCAGTGGACTAAATAAAAGGTTCTGTCCGAAGTTCCAACGTATCTCAGCGTTTCGAAGAATGTAAATAGTGTAAATAATATTTTTTATGGTCTACACAAAATTTTATGAATGCCAAAGCTCGCACGAGTTGAAACATAGTGATAGCAACGGCAACGATAGACGTCTTGAATAATTCATGGAATTTTATTTAATACTAAATTTCATCCAATAAATGGCTCGAGAGCCACTCAAGGTAACGGATCGCAATCAACGAAATGGAAATACTGAATGAGGTGTGATATGAATGGAAAAGATGGTAGAAAATGAACATTATGAAGACGAGAAGGAAAGATGGCGTTTGACCCTTGGCTTGAAGAAGTCAAGATTGAAGAGTTTAGTTAAGCATCCACTTGGAAGTCTGTCCTTCAAAATGGCAGTTCTTGGAAAAAGGGTTGTTGAGTAGAACATTTTTCTTACATATGTGTGACAGTTCATAACTTTAGAAAATTGCAAAAAGGCCTCAGGACGCATCGGCCGATACGCAGTAATCTAAACTAACAAAAGAAAGGCGTTTGTCAGAGTAAGTCGTGGGATATCTGTCTATATTTCTGAGATGAGTTATTGCAATTATTTTTATTATTTACATTTTCCAGACTGTTGTCCTCATCTTTATTGCCATATTGACGACATTTATGTTGTACGCTCCGGGCTGTTTTTAGGTTATTGTAATTTCGTACTGAACCCTTTATTTCGTCCACTGAGCTAGATTGTTCTACTTCTACGTGTCATGCCTCTTCCGGGTGTCACAGTTATCTCTCTTTAACTCAACTCTCCAAGTTTTTGTTCAGAACTGCAGGAGCGAGGCATTGAACTCACAACACTTTTGGTTAAAGTCACTGGGTCCAATCAACGCTTTTCTCGACTGGTTATAGAAACCAAATTTCAGGTAAACAGTGTATTTCATCATACGAATTGATGCCAAATTTTTCAGCATTTTTTGTTAAAAGAATTTATTATTCATTGAGATTCAGATTATCATTATTGGGATATCAAAGTATTTTCTCTAACTTTTTAAAAGTCATACAGTCACATCACGTTGAGGTACCGGTTCGCGTACGATCGCCGAAGTTAAACAACGTCGGGCCTGGTCAGTACATAGATGGGTGACTGCTTGGGAAAAGCAGGTACTGTAAGTTTGGATGTGCAGGTGGTGTAAAGGATAATGGTTTGGAATTAATCGGATAGCCGAGTTCCTATTCCCGTTGGTTTCGTTATCTTCCCTTACGCGCAAATACCCTTGGGGTCACTAGGAATTCACCTATTCACTCGCAGTTATGGGTTAATTAGTAGACTGCAAATAATTCAATATCCAAAAAATTCTTATAATCTAAAAATATTTTCTGGTTTTAAATAACCCGCAAAAGGTTGATAAACCGTAAAAAAATAAATCAGTCAATCACTTGATATCCATGATCTTACGCCAACTTTCCGGTAAATGGCGTATTTTATCATACGAACTGATGTAAAAGTTTCCAGCATTTTTGACTTAGTTTATTATTCATAGAAATTCATCGCATCATTATTCAGTTATCAATATATTTTCCCTAGCATTTTATAGCTTTACGTCTCCTTTCAGCTAAATTACGTAATCCGTATTTGAACTCGCTTCGTCTATTTCACTTTCAGCGCGAGAACTGATACTCTCCCTTGCAGTTAGAGTAAGAATGTTGTAATCTTTCAAACAAGGAAATCTGTCTACCTTGAAAAGCAGTCTTCGAAATTTTAGCTTTATTACCGGAGATGGAACAGCGACCAACAGCTTCAGTTGGAATTAGATATTTCAGTCTCTTCGAATAGAAAATGAATTTAGTAGATACACAAACATAGAAAAAGGCGTAAGTTAACAATGTGTATTCTCAAGAGAATTATTCAACCATTATGGTGATGCGGAGAGAACTACAAGTTTTACCAAGGTTTACTATTGTCGAACACAATCTTAACAACATAAGATATGCAGATCACACAGTGTTGCTAGATGACCTAGTGTGGAAACGTCAGAGAATCCCACAAAAGGTAGTAAATGAGAATAGACCCAGCATCAGTTGTAAGAAGCGAGAATGTAAGGTTTTCAGCAAGAGAAAAATCTCATATGCAAACTATAAAATGGAGAAGAAAGAATTAATTTAGAGATAGTAAAATTAAGCGAAAAGAAAGGACTAAGCATTAATTGTTAGAAGATAGAATGTTTGGTTGTCAGCAAGAGGGAGAGCCTAAGATGAAAACAATGGATTGGAGGTAGTAAAAGAAAGTGAGAAGAAAGGACTAAGTATTAATTATTAGAAGATAGAATATTTGGTTGTCAGCTATGAGAGGAAAGTTTAGAAAATGGAATGTTTGATTGTCCAAGGTGTGAAAACTACGAATTGAAGATAGAATATTTGGTTGTCAGCAAGAGGAAAGTTCCCAGGTGTGAACTACGAATTGGTGACACTAAAATCAAGCAAGTACGAAAATGTCCAAGAAGTATTTTATAAGAATACAGAAAATGCATTGAAATAACTAAAGATGCCTTCCAAAAGTGAAGCAAAATATTAAGAAAACAGGGCAATTTCGTTAGAAACGAAGATTACTGAAAAATTTTTCAAATATCGGTTCTTATATGAGAAGAAGTTCTAAACAATTTCTTAAATAATGAAGAGGAGATTTGAGTCAACAGATATGTGGATCTACAGAAGGATGCTGAGTATCTGATGGAATGAAAATGTGAGTAACGAGGGCATTTTAATGGAAACGAGAGCAAAAAGGACATTTATACTTAGACAGTTGAAAGTAGCGAGGACACATAATAAAAATATGCTGGCTTGGAGAATTTGACACACACACGGGATATTGAAATCAAAGGGAAACAATTGCCTAACAAGTTTGTATCAATGGCTGGCAGAACAGGGACTGGAAGGGATGATGAAAAGACAAAAATTACTAAGAGCTAGAAAGTTTTGGAAGTTGTGGAGGGTCATGATCGCACATGTTCTGAAGGAACACTAGGCATAAAAGAGGAACGAGTTTGTGTAAATGGTTGGATTAGGAGAGAGTAAAAAGACAAACATTGCTAAAAGCTACAGAGGGCAGGAAGTAGTGGAGAACTATGATGCCAAAGTTCTAAAGAGACTATTTCCCTTGTTTCATTTTACTGACCTTTTTCTTTGTCTTTATAGAAAGGATAATCTCCTCGGCCGTCAAGTAATTTGAGCAAGGGTGGTAACAGCTGAAGTACGTCGTCTTTGTCCAAGTAGTAACCAAATTTGACGAGATGGTACAGCAAACGCAGGACCTGGTGAAAAAGAAACGTGAATTATATCAAAGATCGTCTACCGCCATATTTGGTAACACTACGGCTTAGAAAAGTATATATATTTATCAGCCATGTGCTGTCGAAATGAAAGATAGCTTACGGTCACATCACGTTGAAACACCGATTCCTCTAAATAAATTTAACTGATTTGGCGTTTTTAAACTGCATTGTATATGGGGTATATCACATAAATTGTAAAAAACGACTACAAATCTTAATATCCTTAAAAAAGAAAAATCTACAATCAATAAAATATCAAATTTCGAAAGAAATACATAAAATTCATTTGGCTTACGGTCATATTACGTTGATACACTAGTTTCTGTACGATCAGCGAAGATAAACAACGTTAATCCAGGTCACTCCGTAGATGAATGACCACGTGAGAATACCAGGTACTGTAAAATTAGGTACCTCCACGAAATCACTAAATCACTTATTTTTATATTAATCTCAGTTATGACATTTTTCCATAAATGAAATATCAAAATTGATAATAAATTGAATGGAAATACAAATAACAGTAAAATGTACTAAATGTACATAAAATTATAGTATTTTATGTACACTTCTGATAATATTTCATAACAAAAGGTACCTATAAATTAATTAGATACCTTTCTTATGAAATATTAAATTTAATCTCACTCTTAACATTTTAATTTCTTTATAATATATTTTCCATAAGGCATCGTAAGCGTAAAGGTGAAATCTAAGTACAAAAAAAAAACAAAAAAACTAGAGAGCTGAAAGTTTTCCTTAATAAATAATTTGTTCACGTAAATGTAATTTATTTCACTTTTCTCCTTCCGTAGAATAAATTATCCTCCCGAAATCCGTCAATATGTCATTCATCACCTGTCAAGTGACGCGAAAGGTTCTGACCTGCTTTGCTTTATTTTCAAATTACATCTTTTCGGCGCAGAAGCTAAGTTAAGCTTGGTTCAAAATATTTTAAATAAACATTATAATTTTTGATTTTCTTACAATAAGTTTTGAAAAAATGATAATTGATATTTAAAAGAATTTCAAAGTGAGATTTCCAATTTTTTTATAAAATGGTAAATTTTGCTGACTCAAAAAATACAAGATTTTTAACGAAAATTACGGACGTGCTAGGAACGATTAAAAAATGTAAAAAAATACCCCCAAAATATTTTGATCTTTCCTCTTAATAATAACATAAAAATTTAGACGATAAAACTTTGTTTTCGTCAAATTTGGCGTCTTTTTCATCATGCTATGCACTTTTTTTTAGCGATCTCGTGGAGGTACCTATGTAAAGTGGTGTAATCAGTAATTGTTAATAGGAGAGCCGAGTTCCAATTCCAGTTGGGTTCGTTATATTCCCTTACGCGCAAATACCCTTGAGAGAGGTATGAATCCACATCTTCTCTCCTAGATATGGGTTAATTAGTAAGATTTGTATCCCTAAAATATTATATTATATAAAAAATTCTTACAATCTAAAAATATTTTCTGACTTTAAATAACCTGTGAAGGGTTGATAAGCTGTAAAAAACAAATCAATCAGTAAAAAAAGAATTAAAAGAAGAATCTTAGGGAATTTTAAACATGGGCTAGCAACAATCAAAACAGAAAAAGCAAAAGGCAGCGTAATCAGTTACAGAAAGATTCATTTTCTTAAATTATTATTAAAATTTAAAAAAGAAATGTTAATTAAATACTGCTAGAGTTTTTTAAATAAAATATTCGTCCAATACAAGGGACGTCAGCCATAGCAGAGGGTTATTCAGCGAGCGGATTATGAGGCTATGTAGGTAGATAACAGTTGAATCAAAATTTGAAGAGGTTAAAATTGCAGTGATTATCATAGGAAATTCAAGGTTAAATTACGAGTTTATGGAGTTAGATATAGAAGTGAGAATAAGATTCAGTTATGTCATTTGAAGGAAAGATCTCAAAAATTAAATAAAAAAATTCGATTTTGAAACAATTTCAACGGATAAATTTTAATTACGGAGATAATTAAGCAAGACAGGATCTTCTCTCCCAAGACTTTTTAAGTCGTAAGTGTAAAGGTCTGAATTGATGCAACTAAAGAATGGAGCACTCATCTGAACATTTGTTATTGGAAATAGCGATAGAGTAGTGACAGGCTTTCGTCGTTGCGTCTGTAGTTCAGAGGCTGCAAAATGGAGAATACATTTTTACCTGCAAGACCTCTTGAATGATTTTCTACACTGTCAAGGCTGGAAAGTGAGGACTGAATAACGCCAGTCCAGCTATTGCAGAAAAAATCCATTTTTGGTCTAAAATTTATCCTTGTAAATATTCAAATGTGCCGAACAGTTTTCTTACATTTTTAGCAATGGATCGTATATATGAGTTCCACGAGGTCTGCAGTGAAATTGGGACCCAGTAGACGTTCAAAGCACGGATCCTATGGTGAGAGTGTAACCATTCATATTGACTGGGGAAAACTTGGGGTTTGATCGGTAGTGATGAAACAATACTCAGTGTTAAGGTTAAATTTTCACGGAAAAAATTCTAGAACTTTTTAGATGAACCTCGTGTTCATGTGGCCTTGTACCGCACTGAACGAAGTTTATTAAATACAAAGAAATCAAAACTAGGAAAAAAGAAAAAAGTGACATGAGAAAGTTAGCTGAATTGACAAAATTTTGAGAAACAAATACAATGCAAAAACTTTAAAGAAAATTCCTGCAATTGATACAAAGGCTCATAATGCTGAAAGAAATTTTGGCAGGCTGACAGTTTCAGAATGAAGAATGTTCCAATAGCTTGAGATTATCGACCGAATGCGGGGTGTCATAACGGGGTTTATTGTCGCTATGCTTTTGTACTATTTTATTTGTTACTCCCCAAATTTAAGGAATTAAAAATTATGGCAGAAAAAACAAAAAAAAAAAAAAACAAAAAAAAAAAAAACCAAAAAAAACAACAAAAAACAAAGAAGAAGACGATCGTTCCTTTGTACATTTGATAAGAACGATTTTAACCGGACGTATTTTAAGATTTATTTGAATTTCACTGAAACCTATTTCCGTGTTTTTGCTGTCGTCGCTACAACGCTTCGGCCAATGCCCCATTTGACCTTATTTCGCGTTGAATTCTTGAGATAAGGTGTTTCTAAAAGCATAAATTAATTCGAATCAGTTACCATGTCTCCATTGTCTTTATCCCCACATCCCGGCCAATGTACACGCCAACCTTCTTTTGTTGTCTTTAAACGAACAATATCGAATAAATGATTTATTTCTTCCCAGACAAAGTGCTTTACGTTCATTTTTCTTTTATCACTCGGGAAAAGAAAAGAATGAGCCAAATTCTTGCGCTCTCGTACCGTTTCCACTGAATCCAAGATTTTCTTTCATAAGAGAAAAAAGTTTCAGTGAATCAAGGGACAGTACTCATCAGCTGGAAGGCTAGGTTTAAGGCTCCAAGTTCTCCACACACGTGACGATAGCCTACAGGATTAAAGCGATCGTTCGTGAACTTGGTGATATAATAATTGTGACTATTAACACTATCTACATCGTTCGGACTGTTGTCCACATTTTATTGCCATATTCACGATGTTTTGACCGTTGGACTCTCCGGCCTTCTCCAGTTGATAAACGTTGGGATTTCGAATCAAACCTTTTATTTAACCTGCGTCGGTAGATTGTTTTTATTCCGCGTGCCAGGCTTTTATGGATATCTCAGTTTCAGTTAATTCCTTTTAGTAACTGAACTCTCCAAGTTTTTTGTTCCCTCTACTGTGGTCAGGTATTGGGTTAAGTTACTTTTTGGATTATTTCAACCAATGCTTTTATTCACTGGGACATCACTGAGTGAAATTTAGGGACTTATAAACCTAATACCTCAGTAAGGATTTTGTACCAGAGCTCTTATTACAATTTTTTTGTTATCATTGTTTTTTTCTAGTACACCGTATGGCTGGTTAAATTACTAGTTCTCATATTGTATTTCTGTCTGTACTTGGCTGGCTTATGAGAATTTTGTCGCCTAGCATATACGCTGATTCCTTAAATTTTCATATTTTCCAGTGATGCTCTCTGTATTATTTCAGTTACAAAAATCCATTCGCTAATGTCCCCAAGGACACGTGGCTCAGTGGATAAAATCGTTGGTTGAAGTAATCCAAAAAGTGACTTGGCTCAAAGAGGTGTGAGTTGAGTTACTAAATGGAATTAGCTGAAATTGAGATATCCAAACAAAGACATGGCACGTGGAAATTAGAACAATCTACCCCGTAGACTAAACAAAGGGTTCGGTTCGAAAATCCAGCGTATATCACCTGAAGAAGGCCAGGGCGAACAACGGCTGAAACGTCGATAAAGATACGGACAACAGTCCGAATGATGTACATAGTGTAAATAATTACAATACCCCATCTCAGAAATACAGATATATATTAATTGTGAGTTCAATCCCCTGGTACAGTTTAGTACTTGAGTGGAAAGCGGTGACCGATAACTGAGCAGTACTAAAAATAAAAACTAGACGAGTTATTCGTAGACGTTGGCATTGAAACGAGAATAGTCTACCATTGTGGATTAAATAAAGGGTTCCCAGCATTTTTAAAAGCTTACAGTAATTTACTAAGTTTAGCTTAGCAGAACGCCAAAAGCTTCTGCTCGTAATAAACGTAAACGAGCCATTGAAAGAGGTAAGCGCCTGTTTGCTGAAAGAATGAGGCACCGCATCGCTTATAATAACCTTGATCCTCGTGATTTCTGGTGGCCCAGTAATAGGGAATTAAATAAGTGTAAGATCTCTATTCAGCCCCCTCTTCAATCAATTTGAGGCGAATTGTAGCCGATGTTTGAGATGTATATGCGTTAGGAGAAAGTGAAAGTGGAAAATATTTTGCGTATATTCAATGAACCTGTAGCTTCTGATATATGAGGTGTAAATACGATAGAAAGTGAAAGTAGGAAATATTTTTCGCCTAATAAACTTGCATATAGAGGCTGATATCTGAGGTGTACACGAGTTAGGAGAAAGTGAAAATTTTGCGTCAATTGAATGAATATGTAGAGACTGATGTTTCAGATGTGCATATGCCAGAACGTGAAAGTAGGGAATATTTTGCGTCTATTAAATGGGCACCTGAAGGCTGATATCTGAGGTGTACACGAGTTAGGAGAAAGTGAAAGTAGGGAATATTTTGCGTCAATTGAATGAGTATGTATGTTTCAGATGACAGATGTTTCAGATTTTTATGTCTATTAAATGTCAGAAGGCTGAATCTGAGGTGTAAGGAGAAAGTAAAGAATATTTTGCGTCTATTAAATGGGCAAAGTCTGATATTTGGGTGTACACGAATTAGGAGAAAGTGAAAGATATTTTTGCGTCAATTGAATGAGCATGTAGAGACTGATGTTGCAGATGTGCATATGTCAAAAGTGAAAGTAGGGACTATTTTGCGTCTATTAAATGGGCACCTGAAGTCTGATATCTGAGGTGTACACGAGTTAGGAGAAAGTGAAAGTAGGGAATATTTTGCGTCAATTGAATGAGCATGTAGAGACTGATGTTGCAGATGTGCATATGTCAGAAAGTGAAAGTAGGGACTATTTTGCGTCTATTAAATGGGCACCTGAAGTCTGATATCTGAGGTGTACACGAGGTAGGAGAAAATGATAGTAAGGAATGTTGAGGCTGATATTTGAGATGTACATGTACGAAAAGAAAGTCAAACTGGATAATATTTTGGGCCTATTCAATGAGCATATAAAGGCTGATGTTTGAGGTGTACACGTGTTAGGAGGATGTATTAGGATGGGGTATTTTGTGTCTATTCAATTTTGTGTATACACAACAAACATAGAGATGCTGATGTCTACGGTGTACATGTGATATTGAAAGGGAAAATAGGAAATGTTTTGTGCCCATTCAATGAGCATATAGATGTTGATATTTGAGGTGTACATACATTAGAAGAAAGTGAAAGTAGAAAATATTTTACGTTAATTCAATGAGCATGTAGTGGCTGATGTGTACATGCGTTAAGAGAAAGTGAAAGTAGAAAATAATTTATGTCTATTCAATGAACATGTAAAGGCTGAATTTGTAGAAAATATTTACATTATTCGGACTATTGTCCTCATCTTCATTGTCGCCATATTTATCACAACGTTTCGGCCGTTGTTCGCTCCGGTTTTCTTCAGGTGGTTGGAATGTCGAACTGAACCCTTTATTTCGCTCACTGGTGTAGACTGCTCTAGTTCCACGTGCCATGTTTTTAATGGATGTCAGTTATCAGTTACCTCCTGCTAATTCACCTCCCCAAGTTCTCAACTGCCTTAGCCGGGTATTGAACTCACACTCTTTGGGTCCTGTCACTGGATCTAACCAACGCCTTTATCCACTGTGCCATGTGTCATTGAGGGTATGAACTTCTGGGTATTATAAACCTAATGTCTTCAGCAAACATTTTTTTACCAATGCTCATATTGCAGCATGTTTTTACCAGAAAATATTTTGTGTCTTTTACTAGAAAATATTTTGCGTCTATTGAATGAGTATGTAGAGGCTGATGTCTGAGGTGTACATGCGTTAGGAGAAGTGAAAAGAAATATTTCTCACCTGTTCTATGAGCATGTTGAGACCAATGTCTGAGGCGTACATGCATTTATTTCCTTGAAGAAACTCCGCGATCCAATCCCGTAAGACTGGAAAAATAGCGACCAGTTCTTTAACCACCTGGCAAGAAAAATGCAAAAAGATTTTTTTTTTATTTTGAGTATAAATCATATCCAAAACTCAAGAGAAAAATTATAATTCAATGATTATAACATAATGGGTCTGAAATCAATAATTATGAGCTTTTGGTTCCTAGGGAACTGTCATCCAGAGAACCTACTCTGACTTTGATGAAAATGGGAATTCACTACTAAAAATGGAACTTGTATCGTATTTCACCTCACTGGAAACCATAATTGTGATTAGTTTCAGCGAAAGTTGACTATGATAGTAAAAATGTAAAGAAATATTGCAGCTTTGTTATGGAAGAGTGGGATTATTCTTAGCCCTGCGTGGATAATCCTCTGAATAGTACCATGGTACCAGAGCTACAACCGCGCCACACCGCGCGCTACGTAACCTCACTGAGTGAACAGAGTAGTTGGAGAGAGCAAGAAACAAAAAAAAAAAAAAAACAAGTTACCAACAAGGAATTACGAATCCCTTAAAAATTTGGGGGTATTCCCATTATGACTAAAGCAGGATTAAGAAGTTAATTGTGTAAATTGCTGCTGTAACAATTTTGATCATCATTAAATGCTCCAGACAGTGGCATTGTTTTTTTTCTTCAAAAGTCATGGCATGCCGGTGACGAGACCTTTAATGAACATCTTTGAAAGAGTGCAGAAATAAAGGATGTTTCACTTTGAGAAGTGAATATAACCACTCCCAACTGGGTTTCGAATTAGGATCAACCGAACAACCGATAATCCGACAACTTGTATCTAATCTCAGTCTTAATTATGTCACGTTTAGAGAGGAGATGGGAAACACTATTAATCCTTCCCACTGGAGATGACATAAAGGATCCAGTATCATATTCCGCAGATATTCTGAATCATGGGACTATATCAAGAAAGATCTTACATGGAATACAATTATCATACATCAAGTGACAAGCCAACTGATTATTTATACAATAGTATCAGCCTCTGAGTGTGGACTGAACATTTCATAGGCTAACTATAAAGGAGTGATGTTAGAGCATCTTAAATGCATTCATTTCAACTCTTAGTAATAAATACATTATTTCTTTCCAGGTAAATTGACACCCGACTGTCCAAATAAGCTTGTTCATCCTGCTGGTCAAAAAGTCATCAACAGCAGATATGACATCATCATCAGTGCGATACTGGTTCTAAACCGAGTGTTTTTTTATTTTTTATAATGGGGTATAGATGATAGTTAAATCAGGAGAATAGGTAGGGTGATCAACGAGTTGAAAGCCACGGTCACGCAGGGGAAACGTTGAAACCAAGCGCTTGTTTTGCTGGAGTATTGCCCTGATACAACAAGTGCCATTTTCTCAGTTTTCCTGGGAGTTTGGTCTGGATAGCTATACCTAAATGCCTCAGCAATTTGACATTGTACTCTCCATTGATGGTGTGGCCCTTTTGAAGATAGTAAATATAAAAAAAACTGAGGCCATCCATATTCCCTGTAGATGAAGTGACGTTAGTCTTCTTTGAAGCAGGTGAGAAGAGGTGTTTTCACTGCATAAATTGTCTCGCTGGCTTAAAGTGATGAACTCAACACTTATCTTGGGTTGAGGAACGTTCAAGAAAACCTGCTGGATTTGCCTTAAACAATGTCAGATTTTCCAGTGATGTGATCAAACTGATGCGTTTTTAATCAAGTGTCAGAAGACGTGGTACCGACCGAGCAGAAAGCTTCGTCATACCAAGTTCATTGTGCAGAATATTCTTAACTCTCTCACGAGATATGCTAATAGCAATGGCTTTTAGATTTATAGACAATCGCCTGTTATCTATCACCATGTGATGAAAACAAATTTTCCTCGATTGTGGTAGTGTGCAGGACGTCTAGACCTTAGGTCAACTTGAAGACACTCTCTTTCCCTCCTAAATTCAACTGCCCATTTTTACACTAAAAAAAGCTGGAGAGTCATCCCCTAATGTAGTAACCATGACAACATGAATGTCCTTGGGGATAAACTCTTTTTGTTGCGGGTACTTGATAACACTATGATCCCAAATGTTGTTCATTTTCAAGAGAAGTTGCTACTAATTACTTCTGAAGTTTTTTGTTGAACAGTCAGTTTATCTGGAAACAAAATGATGCCTTTATTAATAAGAAGAGTTGAAATAAATATATGCAATATTTAACAGCTCTAGCCTAATTCCTTCAAAGTCAGCCACAGAACTTTCCAACCCACCCTCATATTTTATTGAGAAAAGAAATTGACAGCACCAAGCAATTCACCTTGACCCAAGGAGAATCCAACATAGTACTTCGAAAATCTTCGAGGAAGAGAGTGTATTCAGGATAGACATTTTTTTTTTGTTGAGAATGTGTACATTCCCTCAGTATCATATCACTAACATTGAAGATAATTAATTAAACATTCCTTTATTTAAATACATCAGTAAACACTTCGACGATTTCATACATCATAGAACCTAGCATAAACTTTGGACTAGAGAAGCGATGAATATTTCAGCAAGACATCCCAACGAGACGTCGAACCCATCGTCGACTGATTCATTCATTTTCTACGGCTTATCATTGCAGGTTAGTTAGAGCCAGAAAATATTTTTTGATCATTGATTCATTCATTTTCTACGGCTTATCAACCCTTTACAGGTTATTTAAAGCCAGAAAATATTTTTAGATTGTAAGAATATTTTTGGAGAAAAGATTGACTAATACAAATCTTACTAATTAACCCATTTCTGGGGGAGAAGCTGTGGATTCATACGTTTTCCAAGTGAATATAATGCACTCAACGGGTATTGGGACTCGACTCTCCGATTAACTATTCTATTACACCACTCGGAAATCCAATCTTACAGCACCTGGTATCGACAACCAGTTACCCATTTGCCACTGACTAGGTTCGACGCTGCTTAACGTCGGTGATTGTACAGAAACCGGTGTTTCAACGTAATATTCCTGTAAGCTCAAACCGGTCATTTATTTGACAGGCAACATACATGGGTTGAACGTCAGTTTTAATCGTGGCATCTTTGCAGCTTTGACGGTAGATGAAATAATTCGGCTTTTCAAACTTTGTAAACCATATATTAACACAGTATTACTATTAATATAAAAACGAATTAACAACATCTGATGAGACGTTTTGGCGGAAAACTCAAAATCACATAACTTACAAAATCTCCTTGGCTTTTTTCTTCATCTTTTGAGCCGACATAGTCGTATATGAAACAGATATTGGGGTGGTCCAGGACAGAGTAATTGTTTCCGACATCTACGAATAAACCTGCATGAAGGAGAAGAAAAAACATGCTCTTTAATAAGAATCTATAAAGTCGTATATATTCGTGTATAAGTCGAGTTCTTAAATTTGTACGATTTATGTATTGGATGTCTGTCGATGTTTTATACCATGTCCTTTCAGGGCGTAGATGATCATAGCTCTTCGCAGGTGCATTTTCTTTAGTAACTGTGAATCGCCATGATTTAATGATAAGTCTGTTGGATTCGATAAGGTAAAATTGGTAGCTGATATAAAAAAAAATGACCTAAAATCTGTTGTCAACTGGGGCAAGGTTTGTTAATTCTAACACCTCCAAAACGAAACTGCTAACTTTTAATCGTCTGAGAGACCCACTTTTTGCCCGCCATCAGCATGAGTGCGGCAAATGCATCTTCTCATGCTAACAGTTTCCGCTGACATGAGGTAGAAAGATTATATCGATTCATTTGCAGGGTCTGTTGCTAGAAAAGTTGGTTCACTATATTCAGGCTTAACTAATTTGCATATTGATTTTTAAAAAGTATATTTCATTAATTAACTGTCCTTCGTTAGTATTCTTTTATTCAAAGATTGTTTTGATTTCCATATAAAAAATAGATCTGTTTAAGAATATTGTCTTATATAGTGCAGAAAAGTGTTTGAAATTTGCATTTTACTTGGTCTTCAACAAGTTGGCATCTATTTGTAAAACTTTCCTTAACTGTAGCAATGCAATTTGGGCACCTAGAGGTGGTGCAATGGTGAGCAAGTTTGTCTCGCTAGAACAATTACGACTGAGTAGAGAGTTCTATCCTAAGTGGGTGCCCCATACTTTCGGCCTTGTGCCACATCTGAGCTACGCTTGGAAAATCACTCTTACAATCCAATTTATGAAAGAAATATTCATTTAAAATTTTTGTTTCAAATATTTCGAATAGTGAATATATCTTACTTTGCGAAGTGATAGTGAGCGGGCAAAGCCTGTTAGTTTTGAATATTGCTGTCGCATCTGGACTGGTGTTTCTGTTACTTATTTACAAATTCCTGATAAAATGTAAAGACAAATCTGCAATGTTATTGTTCCTGACTTGACATTCAATCCCATTCCCGCCGCCCACAGCTTCCCTGTGTCTTTTTCATAAATATTTTAATGTTAATTATTCTGATGAACTTTCCTCTATGCTACCTAGATTTTACAGTTGAAATGGCTAGATTTAACCGTAAGTTCTATGCTAACAGTTTCTTCTCTCGCACTTTTCGTTTGTGGAATTCTCTTTCGGATTCATTCTTTCCAATCAACTTTGATCTTCAAAAATTTAAATGCAATATAAATCGTTATCTTCCTTCTTCTTAAGCCTGCTCATTTCTCTTCAATAATGTTTTTCTTTCCTTATATTATACCCACATTAAGGATCCCCTTGCGGTATTAAGGCCGCATGGACGGGTTATCGACGACTAAAACAACAGGATTAAAAACAATAACTGTCATAGAGTGGATAAACCTTATTTGTAAGGGCAACAAGATGGACAATGTGCCAACTTTATTGAAACAAAACAAGTTCAATTGACCATTGATGACAATTCCAGAACAACGTAACAATAAACATTTTTTTCCTATCATCTGCCAGCCGCAACGATGGAGGAAGCATTACCTCGAACCATCGCCAGTGAGACACTCTGCAAGAGCCATTCCATTTTGCGAGGTTCGTCCCTTAATCGAGACGCAATCGCGCCAATCCTTCGAAGGAACGCCATCGAACGAGGGCCAATAACCCCTAAAGTCTCCACTGCCACAGAAGTAAAAAAAATCTATCAGCAAAAGAAGAATATTTAACTACTTTTTTCATATCTGCATCAATATACCTGTTCTACAATATATTTTATATAGTATATATACTTTAGTATATATTAAAATTGAAACGGTTAAATATCTTCTTTGTGTTGTAGTAGTTATTGGTTCGGACTTCGTGATGTGATTTGTGGCTCCGTGCCATTGGAAATTGCTTGGCGTGCCACGCTGTCACGCGTGCCACGTGTGCCGTAGGTTGCCGATCTCTGAGTTTGGCTATGGAGAGTGTGAAAATTATGAGGTAGGTATTCGGGATACTTATCAAGTAAGTACGTGACGACGTTGCAGATGGAATTCACAGTCTCTCAGTTGGTATGTATCTTTAAAAATGAAATACCCCTTAAACATGTCTGTGCGTTAATTTTTTGTCGTAAATTTCACAAAAATGTTCGATTATTTTAAAATGACTTCGTTGTTTCCTTGTCAACTGCAAAATTTATCTCAACCTCAATTTAAACTACATTATTGCCACTGAAAATTGCTAGGAGAATGGCTGAAGAACGAATTTACCGCATTAGCAAATTAGTCTTGGAAACATTTTCTCGCGAAAAGGGATGGAATAATGAAACGAAATAGGTGCCTCAGGGTTTCAATAATCTATTAAAAGATAATTATAATTATCGCCATCTGGTTGGAAAGGAGTTAAAAAACGAGGGAAGAAGATAATTTTCTCTGTCGCAGCCTGACGGCTATACAACCTGAGCCTATCTATCTATCTATCTATCTATCTATCTATCTATCTATCTATCTCATCTATCTATCTATCTATCTGTATCTATCTATCTCACTCATTCAATATCTATCTATCTATCTATCTATCTATCTATCTATCTATCTATCTATCTCATTTGTTCAATATCTATTTCAGTCCGTTATCTATCTATCTATCTATCTATCTATCTATCTATCTATCTATCTCATTTTGTTCAATATCTATTTCAACGTTATCTATCATCTATCTATCTATCTATCTATCTATCTATCTATCTATCTCATTTTTCAATATCTATCTATCTATCTATCTATCTATCTATCTATCTATCTATCTATCTCATTTTGTTCAATATCTATTTCAGTCCGTTATCTATCTATCTATCTATCTATCTATCTATCTATTCTTTCTTCTTATCTACCACACTTTCTCTCCATCTCTATTCGTTTGCGTCTTTTTCTAATGCCTCGTTCTCTTTTAGAAACAGGAAGATGTCAAATTACATGGCAGTCGTGAAAAAGAATATTCATCGTTCGTCACTCGTCTAATTAGGAGGGACAGGCTATGCTTGTAATGTGAAAACTGCTCGCAGCTTTATTCCATAAAGCAGTCGACACTAAAAATAATAACTCAAAATAGATGCCAGTGTTATTCCGCTTCCCTCAAGAAGTAGACGTGTTCATAGTCACAAGAGCTGAAGATGCTCGCAGTTTTCACTTAATCAGTCTGAACTACCCGGTGCTATGCGACAAAAGAGACAACAAGCTAATGAATTCAAGCGTGAGTTTGGTGATATCGTAATTGCGAGTTCAATTCTTAGGCTGGGTAGTATAATTGCACACTCAGATAAAAAAAGATGCATTAATTGCATATTGTCTATGTTTTTTTTAATCATTTCGTCCCAAGCAAATCAATAAAGCCACTAGGACGCAAGGTGTTACAGAGTGTTAGAGAATATGAGAAAAATATACTGCTAAAGAGAGGACAATAAAAGAACAAGAATAAAAAACAAACAAACAAACAAAAAAACAGAAGATAACGAACAAAGCGAGATATCCGTAGAAACGAGAACACCCCACACCCTGTAGATTAAATGAACGATTCAGTCCGAAACTCTTAGAAGGTTTACCGGATCGTTAGACACCTGAAGAAGACCAGAGAACACAACGGCCGAAGCGTTTTGATAAATAACAACAAGGATGAACACGTTATTCCAAATGTAAACAATGGTAACTCCTCCCAGAAATCCAGACAGATAATGTTTTCCCTCTAAATGAATATAAACTATCCCTCGGCTTATGTTAAGTTGAGGCAATTGAGAGATTAATGATTGCCTAGACGCCGTCTACTATCAATTTATGTAGCTTGCCTGAATTTGAAAAATCTATCCTTGTAGATTAAAGAATAGATTCAGTTCGAAATTCCCTGAGGGTTATATTGCTCTCAGTCAGCTATGTGCCATGCGTAATACACGCTTAGGCGATCATGTATCTTTCGATACATGACTGACGAGGCAGATTTTTTCTCGCAGTAGGTTGCCATTTCTTTCTGCGGCTATAGAACCAGGTCTGTTCTTATTATTATTCCAGTTTTCTTTACTTTCTGGTAAATAAAATTCATTATTGATTCATTTATCTGAGACGTAAGAAAGTTATTGAGCCTATTAGAATGAGAGAGTTTTTGTTTCCCATCTATTCCCGTTCATGAACAGAGATGCACTGGACATCAGCCCCTAGGGGACAGGCCGAAATGGTTAAGATCAAGTAAGATCTATGGTACTGAACGGCATATTTATGGTCAGTCAATTATGTCCCATGTGTGATAAATGCTTAGGCGATCATGTTTCGATATATGACTGACGAGGCAGATTTTTTCTCGCAGTATGTTGCCATTTCTTTCTGCGATAGACCATTTGCCATATTATTTATAGTTGGGGGAGGGGAGAAGAAGAGGAGGATTCATACCTTTCCCAAGGGTATTAGTACGTAAGTGAATGTAATGGATTCGACTGGAATTCGAACTCGGCTCTCCGATTCCTCAATCCGAGCCGCTATCCATTACTCCTTATTGTATGTCATTGTATGTAGCTTGCCTAATGGAGGTATGCTGTCAAATCCAGTATTTTGTTAAACATGCTTGAAATTTAATACGATGGAATAGATAAGCTAAAAGGCAGTGTGAGATGATAGAAAAAACAGTCTTCGAAGGGAGCTGTGCTTAAAAAGCAGGGCGGAGTTGTGTTTAATGTAAACTTTCTCTTGATTCTTTGCCGATTATCTACGTTTCACTATATCTACTAAGTGAATGCCGGAGCTCAAAGATTGCTTTTTTTTCCCGCCTCTTTTCTTTGGAAGGCAAACGCAGTGGTTCAGCACCCAGCGACCGTGCAAATAGATATGCTCTACTTGAGAAGAACACGCCTTCTCTGTGTTCCTTCAAGACCTGAGCGATCATAGCTTTCTGTCATTTGCTCCTTTTAGTAAATTTT